AAATCTCTCATTATGAAGTTCTACAACTGAATGTGCTGCACACAGGACGCCTACTGATTCAGTTGGGTCGATATTCGAGATATCACAGTAAATTTTCATAAAAGAAACTATTCACAAGGTCGGATATCGCGTCTCGCCCTAAGAAGGCCGACATCGGTTGTGGACTGTCGATGCTTCAGTTTCCCAAGTGTGCACCCTTCTCAAGAGCTCAGCAACCCCCGAATAGAGATTTTCTCTCTGTATGGCACACTTGCTCTTCAGTAGTGAATTTCAGACACTGCAGAACGAACTGTGCAGCACATTCAGCTGGAGAACATCACAAACGAGAGATTCAATTGAGTCTCCCGTGAAGACCAAATTGATTTGCAGATGAGTGTATTTCTCAAAAACAGTGCAATTTGGGTTCAAGTAGATCATAAGGTTGACGGAAACTCGGCGACTGCGCCCCTACCTGATGAGCCCCACGAAGGGCGAAACCGGTCGTGGGCTGTCGAAGAGTTTTCAGCAACCTTGTGAGTAGTTTGCTTTGTGAAAAGATCCAGTTGGCTTGTGCGAACTCTTGTAAAGGGTAGTTAGTCTTTTTGAGTTATCGTGAATTAGCTCCCATGAAAAAGGTGGTGTTCGGACAGGGAGGGTAATCAGGTGTGCTAACCAAACCTGAATTTCTCTATTGGTGTGTAGGTTCGACAAACATCAGCGTGAATCTATGACTTCTGTCCAAATTCCCTCCACTTGTAATCACAAGTCTGTCGGAAAGTATGTCGTGTGGATCAGATGAATTCAGGACCAAAACCTTGGACCGCGCTTGGCCGTGAAAGATTTCGACACACAGCAAGGCTATCCATCATCCCAAAAAAATCATTCGACAAAACTCCCGGTAAATCATGGCAGGTTAAAGATTAAAAACCCGCGATTGTTTGTGGAATGGAACAACTCTCAAGGTGGCGGGATTCGAACTCAACAGCAACTAATGACCGAGAATTTGCGTAGAAGGCACATTGCATGAATCTTACTGACAGCTCTCGGTGTCGCCTAGGTAAGTCCAGCTGGTTCCCCCCCCCCTCATTTCTCCTGTTTCGGAATACTGCGTTGTATCTCTATTCTCGTTACTAATTGGTATCTATACGGCAAGTATTGGGCCAGATTAGATTGTATTGCGTCGCAATGTACTGTCATTATACCATTATTATATTATCAACTCGAAATGGCTCAAGACGCGAAGTTACCAACCAAAAGTTCTGTGGTTCGAACCCAACCCCGGATTTGGCTCCACAGCTGGACCCTCATGCTCGCTTCGATTAGTATGGCAGCTAGGCACGGAACGGGTGTTATGGCTGAGCGGTTATCATGATACTAAAATATCACTACCACTCGATTATTATACTATATTCTGTTCCATCTGACTGTATAAATATTCCAATTGCCAGTCTTAGCACTGGGAATCGGACTGCAATGAATCTGTGCTGGCGCCAGAAGTGACTATCTGTGAGCATCGTTCTGCTAACCCAGGTGAATAACAACCAACACTAGCTAGGTGTGTGTGTGTGTGTGTGTAAAGTGCACCTTGGGAGTGTCTCACGTCACCCTCAGAATCCAATGCAGGCCTCAACTGTTCTATTGTGACCAATTGACTTTGCTATTTTGAATCACCGGTTGGGCATGCCCCCTCCGCTTCATCCTCCGGTCTGGTCCCTCTGAGGCAAGATGGTCCAAGTGGTTAGAGCGCGAATTTACCGGCCGGAATGTCCGTGGCTCGAACCCGACCTCTGCCACTCGACTTCCCCTGTCTAGGCTTGGGAAACCTGACAGTATCCCAGCCCTCGTGCCTCCTTTGGGTAGCATGGCAGTTAGGCACTGAAAGAGTGCATCAGCTGAATTATTTTTCCCTCCGGGGTCCAACGGTGCAGTTTGATATTCTAGGCCAATCCGCAAACCGATACCAGCCCACCAAGTTACTTTAAAAATAGAAGCCAATGCCTTTTCCCGAAAGAACACTGCTTCCTCGTGAAATTGAACCATATTTCACAAAGGAAAGGGCTAAATTTTGAAGCACTCCACCAGTCGGTTCAAACCCTTGTTAGTGCTGCAGTCCGTTGTGGTTAGAAAACCCGTTTTTGAAATTTAAATTCTACTCAACTCGGTGTGTGTGTGTGTGTTTATCCATTGTGTTGGTTTATCAATGAAGTTCAAACCCAGGACAACTAACCGATGTTTGCACTACTGAAACCAGAGAAACTCTGATGGGTAAAAGAAAGCTAAGAACCAATGCATCTCGAGATCAAGTGAACAAGTGAACGGAAAACACAGTTTGACTTACCGTCCGCTCTTGGTGATCACCATCTCGGTTCCCTGAGAGTGGAATTTGTCCCACAATACCTTATCGACCAGTTCAACTTTTGGTCGATTTATGTCGATTGTCACGTCCGCAGAATCCACGTCTTGGTCTGCTAAGGGTAGTTGGAGTCGTGGCATCATCAGAAAAGAGGACGAGGCCTGTTTGAAATCTGGCAGACGTGAAAACTCATCCATTGGCGAACTGATCATGGAAACCAAGGATGGTGTAGTCGCCATCAAATCTGACCGATTCACGGGTGAGGCACGATATGACGCTGGCGGACTGATGACGTCAGAAAGTCCGGCACCCGAATCCCTTGAGGCTGGAGGGCAGGTGTTATCATTCGGGCCGTAAGTTGCGGCGCCTAGGTGAGCTGGTAACTTGAGCCCAGAAACGGCCAAAGCAGCGGCCATCGCTGCCAGAGCCGTTGTCGAAGACTGATCAGGCGATTTCACATCGGCTGCAGGATGACTGAACGAACGGCTGGGTGTTCTGACGTGTGTTTTGAAGGCCGATTTCGAATCCAGTATTTTGTGCAAACTACCCGCCAACAAAGAACTGTAAGTCGACAATGGATTGCCACCATCCAGTGCACCACGTGATTGTGAAATGGACGGCGACGAGTTGGTGCGTCCGTTGTTGTTGTTCAGATGCGCCAAGTAGTCTGCCTGGTAGTCCTTGATGGATGCAGTCAATTCTGAGCTCGGCGCCAAGTCACTGAGGGTCTTCAGAGCTCGTGACAGCACTTCGTTGGACGCATCCGTTTCCACACTGTTACCTCCATTGCTCAGGTTTGAAGACATGAGTTTGGGAAACACGTGTCGATCCCAAATGGAATGCAAAGAAGCCGGGGGAGGAGGAAGGTGAGGAAATCGCGAGGATTTTGGCGCTGTATTCACTCCCGTACTGCCTGCACCGATACCTTGACCCATCACGTGACGGCCGTAGAAAAGCATCTGTTCGGGATCTGACGGAGAAGTTGCTGTGCGGCCGATTGAAGAGGGCAGTGATCCGGAGGATGCAGCTAACTGCGACACATGATTTGTACCGGTGCTGTTAGGGCTGTTTAGAAGCAGGGGATTGGATCTGTTCAGCAGTTGATGTACCGTATTGGGTGGTAATGGGAGATTGAAAGTCATTGCTGGACAAAAGTGAACTTGTGTTTTCCTGGTGTCTTCTTTAGCGACGGTGGTGGTGATGATAACAATAGCACATGAGCGTCTGTCGAATGGTTGACTTGTGTTTATATCAATCAACCGGATTGCTTTGAGTTTGTATATATATTCCGCATGCGGATGACAAGGTGCACTCGTCCCTGATGCTGATAGGGTGTGAAGTCAGTCAGCACTTATGGTGTGACCTGTCTACCATTAGGCGCGCCGCGCTTGTTTGTGCGTACATCTGTGGCGAGTGAACACAGGGTGTAAACAGGTGCTCCGATTCGAATATCATGCGGCGTCAAAATATCTCGAGAGCGGTAGCGGCAGTTAGTTAGAGCCCCCTTTCGATCTTAAGGTGTGATCGACCGAAAATATGAAGCTGGTTGGGCGTTTTTGGTTAAAGCGATGCACCTGCAAAGGTGCAACCAGACACATATACGCGTGCGTACGTGCGCACAGACAAACCTGTCGCATGCTGGTTTTTCGTTGGCGTGCTTTGAACCAGACCCCACCGCTACATCACGCGGTCGTGATTGCCACAGTTTTGTCCCACCAACCAACTGGCGTCTCGGTTGTCTGCACGGCAGACACACGTACGCACGCATCGGGACAGAACACACACGACGTGAGCGCGTGCGTGCGTGCGTGCGCCGGGAGAGGACGGTCGCCCGTGCGTGCGCGCGCGCGTGTGCGTGCAATAAAGCGAGAAATGCGTGAGACGAATGGTTCGCTGGGACGTCTGGTCAATCAGGGGAGTGATTGGCTGGCCTACGCCGGATTTTTAACGCATTCGAAATTCTGTCAGCAGAGTGTCTGTCAGGCAACCCAGTGCCTACACTACTGGTTGATTACATCGGTTCCCATTTTAAAATATGGCATACGAATAAAGATGTGAAAGGATGGCACTTTCAGCCTTTTTTTCAGCACACACAAGCAGGTTGCGAATTAAAAAAATACACACATGCGCGCACACACAATGGATCTTCGTAAATTATCCGAAGCGAACTTCCTAGCAGACTGATAGGCATCATGCATTACCCCGAAAACAAACGAACTCGTGCAGTCATCGGGCTCCGACAAGGCTGTGGTGCCAGGAAGACTTCCCATGACACTGGAGCACAGCCATCACTTGCGGAGCGACCCAGGTCATCTGGTCACATGCATGACAAACGCTGACGCCAACCAATCGAACGATGTCTTATGATCGTATGGCAGCCGGCGTGACAATTAGCCGGGTAGCAATCAATCGTCCCTCTCTACGCGTAAAAGCAAAAGGTGCCGGACACGTTGCGAGTCACAAAGTTGTGAGTTTAGCTCTCCCTCTGATTTACTGAGTTGCTTCCTGGTAGTAGCAGGCCAACCACAATGTAACGTTGAATTTGTCGTCTGGTTGGTACAAAATCTTGCTTTTGTGTGTGTGTGGCTTCATGGCCTCCGTGACCTAAATCTGCGTTGATATCCATCTCAAATCGATAAGCTGATGGTCACCTGGCTTCCAAATGACCTTGAGATCACGCATTAAACAAAGAACCCGCCACAGACTGCTGACACGAACCAATAAAAGTACGTGTGCAGTCAGTGGATGATTAGTGCTAATGTGGAGTCGAGTAGCAGCAAACTGTGATGTGATGCAATGTGGTGAAATGGACTTGAAGGAAGGAAAATGAATCAGAGAGTTCGTTTCAGGGCGAAGAGTGTTCGTGTTGGCCGGCACGTCATTAGTGGGTGAAATGGTAACGGAGAGAAATAGGTACAGTACTCAACAATAATAAATTTAATAAATCAAGAATTCGTGTTCATGTCGCTCTCTTTCGAACANTTGAGTTGTTTACCGAGTATTCAGGATACTCTTCGATCCGATGTGCAGAGCAAAAGTGGTTAGAGATTCTGGGCTTCAGCGGAGTTTTCCGTGTAAAATTGAAAGTTTATTTTTCATCGGCGATTCTATTATATTGCCACGTGCGTGTGTGTGTGTGCGGGTAACGAGAAGGAGGGGGTTGTCTGTTGTGCAACCGCAGTAAGGACAGGGAAGTGTGCTCACCCAGTTCGAAGTGACCACGTGAACAGAGTGAATTTAGTATAGTGAGCAAATATCAATCAACCAAGTAGGGAATAGAATGAACGATATGACAAATGGACCTATGAGTCATCGATACGCACGCGCGTGCACACACACGTACGCATGTGTGTTTGAACATCAGTGATCACTTTTAACCAGAAACCCACTAAAATGACCGCTGACGAGTGCGATCAAAACCCCTACTTCAGCTAAGTTGATGGGAATTCAGGAACTACACCTACTTCACCCCTAAGCCCCAAGAAGAGCGAAGTTGGTAGTGGACTGCCGAACAGTTTTCAACAGCCTTCTGATCAGTGTTCAGTCATGATACGATATCCCTAATGTCGTACTGACTGGAACATGAGGTGAGCAAATCCGGTTGGAAACTATCAGAAACGAGATGCTCAAGTTGGATAGTTGCATCTGTTGAGATACAGGGACAAATTTACCACAAATAGGTAAATGAGATCATCGCACGTGGAGCAAACCTGCTTGTCGCCATGGGCAAACAGGTGGTAGAGAGATTATGACATATAGATGTTTTTTTCACTTGAAATGGGTAGAAAAAAGTCCTCTAGGAGGCTGGATAGCGCCAGCTATCAAGTGAATGTGATCATTCGTAATGGACCGTAATGGGTCAACGAAAACCCCCGGGTTCCTGAATCAGTGTCTATTCAGTGGGGCCACTCTCAGCACCCCGGTCTCTGTCACGTTTGGGTGAGAACTGGGTATCGCCACAGTAAGGGCGGTCGTTTGAATCGCCAGTTCTTGTTATCCTCGCTCTCTCAGTTATCAGAACCATTGTCCTAACACCATCCGTTTAAGGTACTTTACTGCGGGAAATTTCCAACCACTGTTCCTAAAACAAAGGACGATGATGACCTACCAACCGTGAGGCATTTCGGTTTGCTTCGAAACATGCGAGTGAGCCCAGAACCCCATTCATTCGATCTTCGGTTCAGACCTCCCAAAATGCATCGACAAACCCGACGAGGGGACTCGGTTTCAATTGGTGATCTATTCGGTTCGGTCCCCAAGAAGGTCTCCAAAAAGGAATAATATTCAGCTGTTAAGTTGAGTTCAGCCCAGGTAAGTCACTCTTGCTAGGTGAAAGAAGTTTTCGTGTCGTATGGCGAAAACAAAGTTTCCTGGTGGATATGGGAAGTGCCGTTTGTTCGTTCTCACACCTTGAATTGGCGCATGCTATGAAAGGCATGTTCCTTGTGCTCTAAGACAAATTCCGCATTTTTATCGGCTGACTACATCTGATGATAACCCAGCAACTCGGCGAATGGAAATTGCTTGATGCCTTTTATTTAGGAGCTCTAGGTGGTTCAGTGGTTAATGCGCGAGTGTACTGATCGGAAGGTCCATGGTTCGAACCCGACCTCTGCATCTCGACTTCCCCTGTCTAGGCTTGGGCAACCTGGCAGTATCTCAGCCATCGTACTTGCTTCGGGTAACATGGCAGCTAGGCACCTGAAGGGTGTTGCAGATGAACGATTACCTATACAGTGTGTTCCTGGCCTATGAAGGTGCGAGAGCTCCAGTTATCTGAAATAGGCAAAGTAGAGTTCTTTGAAGGAACTCGAACACGTGACCTAAGAATAGCCTCGACTGGGCCATGTCGAAGATTGCACCGCGGACTAAAGCTGCCCAGTTATTCACCACACTTCTGTCTGACGGACCTATAGTGGACATCTGACAGTACCATTATAAGACGGCTAGTACTCTCCCGTAAATATCATCGTCCCCAGCATCATCTTCATCACCACCATCCTCATCGTCGTTAGCAATGAAACTGTTCTTCTCATGGGCAGTAAATGCGCTAATGCGTCCCGCAGAACGCTTCGGCAGCCACCACGCTGAGGTCACAAACATCGTGGATGACAATGTCCATTGAGGACATCGTTGACATGGCACTTTTTACAAGGGTGAGTAAAACCAAATTTCCTGTAGAGAGGGACTTGTCTAAATCACTCGTCATTTGAACGACACAGTGGCATCACAGTACCTTGTCTAGACGCAACACACAAGGTTTCTGAAAACCCTTCTACAGCCCATTACTGGTTTCGCTGTTTTTTTCGAGCTCATCAGGGCGCCGTTCACATTCCAGAAACCCTGGTTGAGGTAGCTCGAGCTGGTCACGTTTGTCGCGACAAACCACTGACGGAATCTCGGACCCAGTTAA